AAAAACCAAGAGAACATTATTAGCTGAAGTTGTCAGTTTCAAAGTCTCCACCTTCTGCTCTTTTTTTTTCTAGGTAAATATTAGGCAATAGGAGGTTAATAAAATTTTAGAATAGCCACCTGGCTTTTTAATAGAAAATACCTTACAGAAACTTATTGGATAGCTATGTTGTACTGTATGGTGTAAAAACTTCAGAGAGTTTTTATTAAAAATTGAAATACTCAACTTCCTAGGATGGTTTAACAAGTATGCCAGCTTTTTCTTTCCAAATGTCAAACTTGCATAATTGAATTTTGCAAGCTTCATAATACTGTTTATGGCATGACATATTGTATACACAGTCTGTTTCTATAAACATTAAACAGATTTGTCAACAACTGATGGCAGTAGAATTATAATTAGATCTATTTATGAAATTCATTATACAGATAAAGAAAATTGGATGTTTTCCTCTATGTTAATTGACATGTGGAACAACGGTGCATGCTGCCTCGCTGCATTCTGCTGTTTTAAAAAACAAATTACAATATGGAAATAATTCTGTAGCTATGTTTCTTGTATTAATTATAGGTCCAGAGCCTGTATTTAAAAGTTGAGTGTGTATGATACCTTGATTTATTCTGAAATTAGTTGAGTGTTCTGCTTAGGAATAATGGATGGCAGCGGAATTTAATCTTCAAGGCAGATAGGAAAATGACGTCATTTAGCCATTTATGAAAGAGATATAATATTGGTAGTCTGTAGTATCGTAGTTGTAATGATTTTTAAGGTAAATGTTAAGCTTAGCTTAACTGTTTGAAGCTGTTTGTTCTGGTTCTTAGATCAGAAACCTCTATTGATGATGTACTGTTCAGTTTAGGGATGTTTGCTGATTTGTGGTAAACTGGAAGGAAATGTAGTTAAAATATAGAATCACAGACTGGTTGGAAGGGACTGCTAGAGATCATCTAATCCAACACCCCTTGCACACGCAGGGACACCTAGAGCAGGGGACACAGGGCGGCATCCAGGTGAGTTTGGAAGATCTCCAGAGAAGGAGACTCCACAGCCTCTCTGGGCAGCCTGTTCCAGTGCTCTGTCACCCCCACAAAAGAGAAATATGGAGATGCACACACAAATTATAGGTTTTAAGCCTTCAAACTGAATGTGATGTTCAGAATTAATTTTAGGTAGTATATGTGAGGCCATGCTGGAAAACTACTTTGAGACGCGGTAGCCAAATAATAAAAATGAAGAAACAATCCAGCATTTCTCTGTCTGCTGTCACTTGTCCTCCTCTCCCTGTTTCCAAAGAAGTGCTCCGCGCTGGGCTTCTCCCAAGGCCCAGGGACAGGCCACACAAAACACTTTTTTGCTGTCTTCTGCTCTGTTTGTCATCCTCTCCTGTTTAATCCAGCCCCTACAGTGTAGCTACTCCCTGGACTGTTCTTCTCCATTCAGTCATCTTCCATTAACTCCTTGTCTTCCTCTGCTTTCCCTTCTTCGGGATGACTGCATAGTGCACAAGTACTAGTTTGCAAATGAAATGTCATTGCCCTACATTTCTTTTGGCATATTGTTCATGAACATGTTCAGTGGTTTGCATACTCCCATTTTTGGGGCGGGGGAAACTCATCTCTGCATGAAGATATCATGAAGAAATACATGAAAGATAAAAGAAAGATACAAGATGATATACTTTTTTTTTTTTCCTCCCCCCCGCCAAGAGCTTAGATATCTAGATGGAAAATAGGTCTTCAGTGACAGTTCTTGCTGTATAAGAGAAATGTTTTCATATAGTTAAATTATAATACGACAAATGTGTTCCACCTACAAAACTGACCTAGTAATTAGAATGTTTTCAACTAAATGAAAGGCAAAATATTCCTTTAAAATAATTTTCTTAGTGTATGTTAAGGACATAATTGACAGTGGTCAGTAGCAAATGTCTAGGGAATGTATGAGAATGGACAAGCAGATAGTATTTTGTCTCAATTTATCTACATTTGATACGTAGGGAATTCCTAATTTGGAAGTGCTATTTTGGATCTTAATAGTCCTTCCAAGACTTTTCTTGCGTGCATTTGTGCCCTTGCTGTTAAACTATAGAAATTTTTCATGTTCCTTGGACAAAGCATACAGTTTAATAACAATACTAGGTGAAGTAGTATGTCCTTTCATTTGTTTTGAACAAAATACTACTTTCATATGATGCCTTCCAGCTGCTATATTGAAAGAGGTCAGGCACATCTGTGCACAGGCCATCTTCTCGTGTTTCTGCTCCGTGTTTTCTCTTCCAGCTTCAAGTATTCTCATCATCTTGTTGCTTCTTGAGCAGATTGCATTTTGTGCCTTTCTGATGCTTGATGCTCTTTCTCTAAGCCTTTATTATTTCAAATATGACCCTCTTGATATGAAAGAATTACATGACACTCTATGTAGGTTTACTCAAAGGCAAAGTAATGCTGCATCTTTCCTAAGAACACATCTGCTGACTATGGAGCTTACATTTCCATCCAACTACCTATGCTAACCTCAAGAGCTTGTTCCTGAGACCATTAAGAAAGCTTAAAACAGGTTATTCATCTTGGATAGTTCTTTCCTGTATGTATCTCTTTACAAATATTTATATTTATTATTGTTTACTGTTTCATTATATAATCACTACATTTCATAGTCCTTTTCTTTGCATTTTGCATAGTCCTGTTCTTTGCACTCAGCTCTCATTTTCACTTTCTTCAGTGAACATCTTAATCACCTCACTTTTTTCTCATGCCTCTTCTAAAGTGTTCAAAAGAGCATGTCAGAGCTAACATAGATAAAATAAGGAGTCCTGCATAGACCAGCATATTTTGGCATTCAGGAAAATGAATGAAAACAGGAAAATGCATAAAACAAAACTGCTGAGGTTGGCAGGAACTGCTGGAGTTCATCTAATCCAACCTTCCTGCTCAGTCAGGATCATTTGAGAGCAGATTGCACAGAATCATGTCAAGTTTTCAATGTCTTTAGGCTCCACAACGTCTCTGGGCAGCCTGTGTCAGTGTTTGACTATCCTCAAAATGTTTTTTTTTAAGCTCAGGTGGAACTTCCTGTGCTGCAAGAACTTCCTGTTTTGCCTCTTGTCCTGTCACTGGGCACCTCTGAGAAGAGTCTGGCCCCATCCTCTTTGCACCTTCCTTTCAGATGTATAAACATAAGGCTCCCCCAAGCCTTATCTTCTTCAGGTTAAAGGTTTTCAAACAATAGAGAAAATCTATGCAGAAGATTATGAGGGTGAAAGAATTTGAAGAGCCAACTATTGAGCCAATTTTGGATGTTTTTTAAAAATATAAGATGTAGAAAGCCAACAAGGAAACTAGTAGACTTTCTTGATGAGAAAGGTATAAGGCGGTAGTTGGGGATGATTAAGCCAAGGCAGTACAGCTCAGTGAATTCTTTGCACCAGCCTTTGGTACTGAAGATTTTTGGGAGTCTGCCATACCTAAGGGATTCTTTGTCACAGGGAATCCGAAGGATTAGCTTAGTCTGAGGAAAATATATGCAGATGCTATGTGTTTGTGTGTATGTGCGTGTATATGTATATAAAAAACAATGTATATATGCCATTGTACCACAGACATAGGTTTATAAGTTAGGTGGCCTTCATCTAGGATTTTGGAAGAAGCTCAAATACCAAACTGCTGAACTGCTGCCTTGGCATACCTACTACTGCCAGACCCCTGCTGGATTGCCAGGGGGCTAGAACTGATGCTGGGAACTACCAGCAGATGATTCCAACTTCCGTTCTTGATAGTATTTTAAGGTCTGTAGTAAATAAGATGGCATGAATAAGCACAGTCTATTAGAAAAGAGTCAACATGGCCTTTGTAAAGACATTTCCTATTTTCATGGAGCTCTAAGATGTCAATAAGCGTGTGCTTCCAGTGAACAAAGTGTGTTCTGTTTTCAAAGAGTCCTTCATAAGATTCTTTACAGAAGGCTGCTAGAGCAAAAAAAAACAAACAAAAAAACACCTTGCCATAGGATGGGAGGAAAGGCCCTTACAACTAGAAAGATGTTTAAAAGTTAGGAAGGCCTAATCATCATTTTTTATAATGGGACAGACTCAATAACCAATGGAGTTATTGCTTGGTCTTTTTCTTACTGAACATTTTCACCAGTAGCCTAGTGGGAGAGTTGATGACTCATGGAGAGTGATGAGAGTTGAATTCAGAACTATTAATTACCCAATCTTGTGGCACAAGAACTAGGTGGCACTGGCTGAAACCATCAGGAGAATGTTTTCAAACAGATAAAAGGAAAGTGCAGTATACAGCAGGCGGAGTTACTGGTGCTTGCTACCAGAGCAAGTTGTAGGGGCAGAGAAGTATCAACACTACCAAAAATGGCTTAGAAATATTCAGGGAAAAATTCATGGCTTGGGGAATAAACTGAACCATTTGTAAGGGTTATAGCTTATAGCAATCCTTATCCAGTACAACAGTTGATGAAAAAATGGGCCAAAAGTATAATTTTGTCCACAAATGTCCAAATATCACTTTGTCCACTTCTAGAAGGGAATTCTGCTATCACTATTGGAGACAGAATAATGGTCTGGATATATTATGGCTCTGACCTAGTAGGACATTTAATTTCTTCATAAAAATTTGCTTGTATGGTTTGTGGCAAATAATAGATTAGCATTTGCAGTAGTTATTTGTTTGAGGGTATCTTTTATAACTCTTTGTGGTTATGTTGTGTTTATAACTATAGATGATACTTTTCATGTGCATTACAATAAAAGAATTCTCACCTTTTTGTTCAGAGAAAATACAGCATTTTTTTTCTTGCTTAATCTTGAATAAGAACACCAAGATAGCTGGTCTTACAAATGGAGTAAGAATTATGAAAATTTGTTTTTTTTCTGAGATATAGCTGGAAAGGACTATTGAAGAAGCTGTGAAAACCAAATCTGTTAGATGTATGTAATCTACAAATATTGATGTGTTTACCGTATGTATTTTTACTTTCTCTCTCAGGAAAGGAGACCGAAAAAGCCAAAGATCGGTGTGATAAAGCTACTATGAAGCTTCATGTGTTGCATAATCAATATGTATTGGCACTGAAAGGTGCACAGTTGCATCAGCACCAATACTATGACACGACACTTCCGCTGTTACTTGATTCATTACAGAAGATGCAAGAAGAAATGATTAAAGCCCTGTATGTGATATTTTCTTACATTTTTCTGGTTTGTACGTTGTATAAATTCCAATTAATTTACTGTTGTTAGAAAACAGTAAACTGTGATTAATTTGCATATAAAAGGGTAATGGAAAAGCTGTTTCGATCTTTCCAGTAACAACAGTTGTCCATAAAAAGTCTATTCAGGTAAACACAGCTAGTTGTATTAAGCGGTTCATTGCAGTGAGAGCCTGTCTTTACGTGGACGTTCAAAAATTCAGTGTCTGCAGTGTTTATAATTTTGCTCATGCTTTATCCTTTTCATTTGGGATACTATGGACAGGTTAATTGTTTATCCAGTAGCTTCACTGACAAATACTCTTGAAAGCTATCTGGGAAAGAGGATCAGATTGATTCATGGTTCCCATGTGTGCGTGCGAGTAACAAGATCATAGCAATCTAATTTCATCATAAGATATGCTGTCTTAAAAATACAATTTCCTTTTTCCGAAAAATCATTCTGCATATCACTAATGAAGATGTTCCAAGTGCTGATCTCAGAGAACTGTAAATGAGGACTTTATGTTCCCTCTTCTGATTCTTTACCCCATGCTGCTTCCTTCTCTTTTCTGAAGAGCAAGAGCAGATTTATGAGACTGTTCTGTAGGTATTTCTCTAGGTTATTCTGAGCACCGTGAGTTGAAAGTATTGCTTTTAAGTGACATGCTTAAAGCCAGGTATAGGTCTTAAAGAGGTGAAGCACTCTTCTGTAACTCCTTTCCTGGAATCTATGTCCATCTTCATTTTAGCTCATAAGGAGTAAGAGAGAGCTAGGGGTTTCATGCTCTATCTGCTTAGGTGGCAACATAATTGTCTTAGGAATTATCGTATTACTCTCTTTGATTTTGACAAATCAGAGATAGAGATGAAATATTTGCACAATCTTTTTATCCTAACCTTGTATGTAAAATTATGGTAAGAGATTCCAGTTATATTTTTGTACTTTGTCATTTCACTTTGGTTCAAAAATGAATTAAATATTGAACTAGAAACAGCAAAAATATTTCTTGCCACTTAAGTACATAGTTATAGGGATCAAAATATATAGGATAATTACTGCTATATTCTATCTTTGGGCTTAGTTCCACAAAAATAGGTGGTGATTTCGCGTGTATGGGTAATCCAAAGTCTTGCAGATTAAAATTATTAATATCAATTTTGGTTTGGTGGCAATTGACAAAGCTGCTCTTGTTCTTAGATCTGTTGTTGTTGTAGCTGACACCACTCTTGTCTCTTTCCTCAGTTTGAACTGCTTTTGAAATCTTTTTCAAACTTATTCACACTTAAGGCAAGATTGAAAAGTCAGGAACAGTATTGAAAAAATCCAAACAAGTAATTTTTTGTGCTGTGAACCTAACTTGGTCTTATTCAGGAAAAGTCTAATAATATGCATATATATATATAAATTATATATATTCTTTTATTTTTTCCTATGCACCTTTCTCTGGATCAGCCGTAATTCATCACTATTTTAAAAAAGATCCCCATTCTTCAGAACTTAACAAGTCAACAAATATGTCGTGAAGAAAAATGAAATACAAAATAATTATGAGGGTTCATTTACGGAAAGCTAAAAGTTAAGGAAGTAGGATGGTATTCTGGGGAAGTAATCACTGAATGACAGTAAATTAACAGCAGAATATCACTTATTTTTCCTGTACTGTTCCCTAATCATTTCTGCCCACTGCTGGGGACAGAACACTGTTTGGGACTAGATGTCACGTGAACTTCTTGCTTGATTTTGATGCTTCTTGTAAATAAATAAAGATTTGTGACTGATGTGCATTCTTCTTCTTATGACTAAATCATAAAAATTAAGATATGAAAGAGCACAGCCAAAACAATAGAGATAAACAGATCTTACAGGAAATGTATGCTAACTATTCTCTGATTCATCTTACCGTATGTCAGAGTATATTTATTTTATCAGTCAAGGAAACATGAAAGATGTTAGTGTAAGTGACAGCTAGTGAGATAAGTCTTCTGGTTGTGGAAGAAAATGTGTCATCAATGATCTGTTTTCATTCCTTTTCCCTGGAGTTTTAATTCAGCTATGTTACATGTGGATGCAGTGAAATTAGTAGAAGCAGCACAATCATAAGAGATTTCTCCACTCATGACCTATCTGTAAAGAAGAGGGCACAACTGATCTGTTATTTATTCAAGTAATATATGATCTTATATTTTTAGGTATTTTTTTTTAAACAGTTGAAACATAAGTTTGTAGAAACAGCAAGTTGAAAGCTCAAAGCATCTTCAATGCCGTCTGCAGAGTCACGTCATATATAATGGATATATTTTTTTTCCCCTCTAGGAAAGGGATCTTGGATGAGTATAGCCAAATCACTAGCCTCGTAACAGAAGAGATTGTGAACGTCCATAAGGAGATCCAGACCTCTGTTGAACAGATAGACCCTAACTCCGAATATAGTGACTTCATAGAAACTCACAGGTATTCTTCAATTTTGATGTGTGTGTTTGTATTTCCTCTTGGGAAATGCTTGCTAAAATGCAACCCTGCTAAGGTGGCCAAAGTTGAATCTGTGCGTTTGGTTTCTTTAAAATTGTTATTTGTAAAGCTTTTTCCTATTTTGAAAAGCTCTTCCACCTGATATTCAACTAAATTTCTGAACATGCAGATTTTTAACCTTGCAGTCTCTTTGACGGTCTCTTGAAAGACAAAATTCTAATTATGCTATTGCATGAGGAATCATAATTTTCGTACTGGTAGCCTACTATGTGTGATAACTCAGATGCAGTGTGAGCTAAGTTACTGTGATTTTGGATGTCTTTTACACACTGGGCTAAGCTAAATTTCCATGCTAAATGCTTTTTCTTATCTAAATTGTAAATTGGTTAAAGTGAACTCCAGGTATCACTGTGTTAACTACAGTTATTGCTGAGTAAGCAGTGCCTGAAGCAGAAGAGAATATGCTGCTTATGCAAGAAAGTTTTTTATTTATAAATAAATTTGCTATTTATTGAACTGATATTTCATATTGGAATATGAGTTAATAGTCTAAGACTTCTTACATTATCTCTTGCTGTTAGTATGCAAGTTTCCACAATTGTGGCAAATTTCCACAAGCAGATATACACGTAGTTTGGCAAAGAATGGACCCCTGCAAATAGATTACTTGTTCTAGGTAGTAAATGTTAATTTTGCAAATGTAACTTTTATTTACCAAATTAGGTCATCAGAAATTGTTGAACAAGAAATAGAGTTTGATACATCTTTGCTAGAAGAAAATGAAAATCTTCAAGCTAATGAGATCATGTGGAATAATCTAACAGCAGAAAGTTTACAAGTCACGTAAGTCTGTCTTCACAAATCTTTCATGGTTTGGAAATACTGTCATACATTATGACATATATTATGAGGTTCACTCAGTTCATCCCATACTCAAGTCGTTAGTCTGTTGCAAATGTCCAGTTTATGAAATAATGTTTTCAGGCTGTAGACAAAAATACACTATTTTTCCTTTGCATTAAATATTTCCTTTATTTCTTTCTGCCCCAGCGCCCAGTTTGCCTGATCTTTCAATCCAGTCTCCCCTCCTCACCAGTTAATTTATACAATGCCCCAAATGCATCATGAATTCTCCTTAGAAACTTAACTCTTCTTCTCAAATGTGTTTCCACACTCAGTACTCTAGAAAAAAAAAATACTGAAAGCTATTGTAAGCTCAGTGTTGTACACTGAGTACACTGTGCATTCAGTGATTTAAATTGTCCCCCACTATATGTTCATATTTTTATTTTTCATTTTTTATTAAAAAAATCTTGTTAATTGTTATAACTTTTAAAGTGTATCAATTTACTAATATAAATTTACTTCATATATTTCATCACACTTTTGGCTACTCTGGGTGATAAACTCCCTCTTGACATATTTTGTTAATCTGTCCTGTGATTCTTTTTTATTAATTCCCCCAACCATACCATTATTCAGTTGTTATTGGGAAACAAATCTGCTGACATTTACTACCTTTGTCATAATTTCTTGTTACCTTGTCAGATTCACCTTTTGCCATGAAATGGTCTGGGAGAGTCACTGGTTAGACTGCAAGTATTAAATTATATGCATTTTTAATATTGATTATAAAATGATAAATTCAGAATTTTATTAGTAAAATTTATTTTCCATCTATAATGCATTTTTATCCATTTTTATTTATTTTATCCCTTTTCTATAAAAAGCATAACTCATACAAACAAAAAATCATTGTTTTTTTTTATTTCCTTTGAGCTTTTGTTTGTCATCTTAATCAGACTGTGACCTGTGTTTCATTCAGGTTTTTTCATAAAACAATTTTTTCATAAAATGTCAGCGTGGAGCACAATACAAACAAGGCATTTCAAATGTGAAGATGCATTTGTCTTCTCTAAATTCTATTCTCTGTTTCCTGAATACTGTGGAGATTCTCTGGATTTTGTTCATTCCCTTTCATTTCTTGTGCTCTCTCCCTGTCTTTTAAACATGCTTCTGTTTGTTATATGTTCTGTATCATTACTAAATTGACCTTAGTTCCTGCATAAATCGTGTGTAATGTAGCACGTACAGAGACAAACAAACAAAATCCCTTTTAAAATGCCTTATAGTTCTTTATTTTATAACAATGTACCTTTCATAGATCAAAAAAAAACTTGTTTTGCTCGTCGTCAATGTCCTTGTATTTTGAAATAAATCAATAACATCTCTAGGCACAGCTGAGCTGCTGCTTTTTCTAATAAAAGATTTTGATTAAGTGAGTACTTGTGTTTGTCCAGATATGTAAATATTTACAAAGACACATTTTTAATGCAAATTTCAATGTATCAAAGCTTGTATTCATGCAATTTATTATTTTCATACATCTGAGAAAGAAATACTGTGGTATTATTTGTGGAATGGGAATCAAAGCTCTTCTAATTGCTGCTGACTCCAAGAAATCTGCTTGCTGATGTAGATTATAGTAAGACCTCTGAGTGAAAAAGCTTAGGTGTAAGGTCAGAGCAAAGTCTAGTATTTCTTTCTGACACTAGTCAATGGGAAAAGCTGAGGGAAGAGAACAGAAAAAGATGTGCATGCAGTTTTATTTCCTCAGAATATGTTCTCAGCTCCTGTAATTTTTTTAACGTTTGTTTCTAATAAAAAGTAATATTTGTTTCTAAATAGCTTTAGCTATATATTTTTCTTATGTGCATTTGTCCAGTCATTTTTATATGTGTAAGCAGCTACAATCCACAATATTGTAGGTCAAAGATTTCCAAGATTAACTACATGTTATGTGGAATCATCTATTGTAGCCTCAAGATCTCATTTCTGAGTGGCATTTACCAGCTTAGAGCTATTTGATGCATAAGTTATAGATTATTCTCCCCACAACCACATATATTATAATATACAAGTTAATCTTTACTTTGAATTTACCATTGCTAAAGATGGGGGATTTTAAAAAGGGTGTTAATTCTAGAGAAGGATATACGGATCATTCATATGAGTTCAGGCAACACTTTTTAGTATGAGGTGAGCACTACTTTAATATTTTCAGATAAAATATATAATAATTACTGATTATTATCTGATATTTATCTAATGTTTATGGCAATATGGGGTAAGTCATATACTTTCTGGTGAATTAGCAATATGTTAGGATGATATTAATCTATATAATATGCATTCTAGAGAGAGTTTTATTGATAGGGTATTCAGGCATGTGGTTCATGGATGTATGCACAATCAAGTATGGGTACTCTAATAAGAAAAGTTAATAACGTAGCAGTGGGTACAAAAATGCTGTTAAGGAGCAGTGTTTTCAAATATGTGCAGCTGATTCCACTGAATTCTGAAATGTATTTATCACAGGTTAAAAACGGTAATAGAAGAGCTGATACAGACACAGCAGACACTTTTGAGCAAAGAGGAGCTTGTGCTGGAATTAGAGAAGAAAATAGAAGAATCTTCTAAAACTTGTGAAAAGAAGTCAGAGTAAGTATATCAAAATAAAATAATTGGAGCGAAAATTGTCTGTAATGCAATTCCTAAGACTTAAATATGAAATAACCTCCACTAATCTTTTACTTTAGCGAGAATTTTTATCAATACCAAAAAAAAGTTAGCTTCCTATTTCTTACATAACCTTTCCCAGCTCCAGATCTTAAATAATTGGAGAGTTAAGCAGCTTCCTTAATTTAATTGTTGTACAGAAGAGCCAGACCTTTCAATAGCATTGTAACTTAAGCTTGGCAGAGCAGAGCAGAATGTCTCTTCAAATTGGTTTCCAGTTCCATAAAAACAGTGGAACTCCTGATAATTGGGCTATAAGAGAGAAATAAGAGCCAAGAACAGTCTTTTTAGGTGGGGAGGGGGGTCTGCTCTGTGACGACTTGCAAGGCTCTCCTTGCCCCCACACTTCCCACATCTTGTCAAGCACTGTAGTATTGCTGAAGAATACAACCTTGAGTAGGATATGCCACAACTGTTGCTGGGAAAGGAACACCTTGGGTTTTTTACAAGATTTTATTTATAGGATAATAGTTTGAAGACTCTTGATGGGGGACTGAAGGTGTGAAATCTGTTTCACAAAAAGATTAATCGATTTTGAAATGCTGAGCATTTTTGTTATTTTAAGTCAATGATGTGAAAGACTAATGTTCAGGTGAGATACTAGTAAGCTCAGACTACATTCTGTGTGGTGATTGGCTGTGTTATATCCAAATATAAACTTACACAAATGAAAATGAGAGTTTAGAGTAGTTAAATGTGGCTTTTGCTCTGGTTTTTGAGTAACACTGGGGGTAGTAAAGGAAACGTGAAAATGCTATTGCAATCTCTCCAGTTTAAAAATGGTGAAATGTTTTACCAGAAGACTTGTCTGGGTGAGATTGCTGTTTGAATATAGGTTCCAGTTCTCATAGATGTTCAAAAATAAGACGTAGTTGAGGCAAAAAAACATAAAAATGTGTAGAAAACAGAAAAGTATTTTTTAGCCCCTTGTATACTTGAATTTGCTGAGTTGATAGAGAATATTGAAACGTACCTTGAGAGCAGTCCAGAAATACTTGCACAGTACACGACCTTTTAGTCCAGAAGACAAAGACAACAGACGCATCTAATTTGAAGCCAGACAAATTTACACATGGATTGCAGTGGATTACTCATCACTGAAAATAATAACCTAAAAGCTTTTCTTTTCTATTTCTTCTTACTCAAAGTTGGTTAGCTTAGGGAACCTAGTGGTAATAAATTCAATCAAACTAGATGAAGAGAATAGGTCTTTCCGTATTTATCACAGCGCTATTTTTGTAGCATGTTGGAAAGAAAGGGAATGAATGAATAGGTGTCTGCTTTCATGATTTTGTAGCATTGAGAATTTTCTAATATTTGTCTTATGCGTATGCTTTTGAAGTAACTCGGGTGAAGACTTTTCACATTCTTTCTGTCAAAAACTTAATAAAATTTCCTATGTAAACTGGATGGATCATGTGCAAATAAGCAAGTTCCATTATTGAATATGCTTTCTTTTGCATAGCTTTCATTAATCAATGTTATTTTGAACTATGTGTGTTCTAAGTTTTGTTGTTTTTCTCTGCAGTATGGTACTTTTGCTGAGCCAAAAGCAAGCACTGGAAGAACTCAAGCAAACAGTTCAGCAATTAAGATGCTCTGAGGCAAAATTTGCAGCACAAAAAGAACTACTGGAGCAAAAGGTTCAAGAGAATGATGGGAAGGAGCCACCACCTGTAGTGAATTATGAAGAAGATGCCAGATCAGTCACTTCTATGGTAAGCTTTATATTTGTTTTACTAGACTGTGAAATCTTGCTGTTGTATTTTAGAACTGGAGTCAGAGGCCTAAATTGTTCATGTGCGTGATGACTGAAGTGAGGACACTTTACTTGAGATCTGTAGAATTTTTCTTGTTTGGATAAAACTGTTAAATTTGATCACTTGTACATTTGGTAGAATTTGCTTGGTCTGCTGTACCCTTCATACTCAGACTCTCATTAGGTGACTTTTTAAAAGAAAAGTATAAATTCTTAACTAGATTTAGTAAGTACATCAACTGTGAGAGACTATTGCTAATCACACTGGCAATTTTGAGGGAGTGCATTCACAGTTCTAGATAGAAAACCAGAAGTAAAATCTGTTGGAATCACAGCACGCAAGTAACTGAGAAATGAATTTAACACAGCGTTAGCACTGTTCAAGTAATATTTGCAAACACTGATTTCTGTGCAATTTATTTTTAAAGTATTTGCACTTTCTTGACATTCAGAATTAACTTTATGTATTATTTGATTGGATACTAATTTAAGTGCTTTACATTTCTAATACCATGTGTAACTTCCTTTCCCAACTGTATACAGTTATGTATAAGGTAGAGATAGTAGGCCATATTAAAAAACAGACAGTATATGTTTACTAAAGGAATCCTTTAGTATCCTTTAGTAATCCTTTAGTATCCTTTAGTAATCCTTTATGTTTACTAAAGGAATCCTTTAATTTTAAACATATGGGCAGTAGTGTTTGCTTTTATGGATTAGTTTTCACATATATGAGATGTTAGTGACTTGTTTGCCTTGGACATTTAGCGGGCTTTTGGTCCATAGAACAAGGCAGCTGCCCAGTAATACGCTAAGGAAATGGTTACATGTGAGAGAAGTGTTTCTTCCCTTTTTTTATTTGTGGAATCAAGCGCTATTTCCACCCCCCCCCACTATATTAAAAAAAAAATAATAAGCAGATGAACTATTTATATACACATCATGTCAATTTATATAACAGACTTATGCTTTTTTTGGTAAAATACCTTAGGTTATGCAGATGTACCATGATAGTAATGGAGTATTGTTGGTGCTGGTGCTCATCCTGCTGGATAACAGCTCCGTGCAGGGAGGGATTTGGGAGTCCTGGCTGACAACAGGTTAACCATGAGGCAGCAATGTGCCCTCGTGACCAAGAAGGCCCATGGGATCCTGGCCTGCATCAGGAGGAGCGTTGCCAGCAGGTTGAGGGAGGGGATCCTGCCCTTCATCTCCACCTGGAGTATTGGGTGCACTTCTGGGCTCCCCAGTAGAAGAGGGATATGTGCACAATATGTGCAAGTACCTGAGGGGTGAATGTAGGGAGGATGGGGCCAAACTCTTCTCTGTGGCGGCCAGTGACAGGATGAGGGGTAACGGGTACAAGTTGAAACACAGGAAGTTCCACCTCCATATGAGAAAAACTACTTTCCTGTGAGGGTGACAGAGCCCTGGAACAGGCTGCCCAGAGAGGTTGTGGAGTCTCTTTCTCGGGAGATCTTCCAAAACTGCCTGGATGCCACCCTGTGTCCCGTGCTCTCGGTGTCCCTGCTGGAGCAGGGGGGTTGGACTAGGTGATCTCTAGAGGGCCCTTCCAACCTCAACCATGTGATCCTGGCATTCTCTCTAAGTTAATAATTCTGCAAGTTTATTATTTCTTTAGGTGTAAATACATTCATATCTTTATCTAAAGCTATGTAATCTAAGAAGCTTGAATATAGCTATTTATTATTCTTCAAAAAGTAAACAGTTGTTTTGCAGTTCTCTTTCTTAAGAATGTCAAAACTATATTGGCTTGTGTTGTGAATGTACGTACTTACTTGCCTGGGAAGTAGATTCCACATTCTGTCACAAGTCAAAGCTTATTTTGTTACTAAGAAGATGATATACAAAAAAGCTTTATGAAGCTGCATGTCTGTTTGTTGGAAGTATTTTTATGACATCATAAAAATGCAGCCAATTTGTTAGAGAAATAATTTGCAAATTGTTTTGTTTTCCATCTCTTACACTAGATAACAGTGCCATAGGGTACTAACAACGAACAGAGTTTTGAAGTGCTGCTTGAGGTGTTTTCATAGACAGATTATGTTACCTTAGTGCCTCTATTAACTGTAGGAAGACTTGTATTTTATTAGTGTGCCTTCAATAGGATGTTGGTTTCTTCAGTATGTATTATTTTTTACAGAATGCTGGTTGTGTTTTGATGCTCATGTAAACATTATAAGGAAAAAACGAAATTGCTGGAAGGTTCTGTTTTGTTCATCATGATGGTGTAATAAGAAATAGAAAAAAAATCTATTTTGGCTAATTGTGAACTGCAGTAGTATCTAAGAATTTCCATATGTAGAAAAGTAAAATATTTTCTTACTTCTAATGTTTATAGCATTATAACTCATCAAGATAAAGATAATTTTAGTGCTAAAAGTGCCACAAGTTTAAAATAGTTCCTCTGAGCCCTTAGCATAATTATGCAATTACATTGTGTACTATGTGAGCAGAAAAATAAGATCAAACTTTCATTCTATTCTACTTACATGAAAGTTAGGAGATTGTTATTAGAAATAGTTGGAAAATTCTAGTGAAATGATATCTTTTTGCCAAAACTCTGTAGTACCCAAATTGTTATATATCATGTTACTTTGAAATTAACCAGTAACTGCAAACTTGTGTTAGGTTTTTACTAGTTAGATATATAGTTTTATGTTTGTGTACTGCATGGCTGCAGCCCACCACAATTAAAACAAACCACCACTACCACCAAACCCCTTCTTGAGGTCTAATTATCTGATTAAAAACATCAAGAAAATTTTCAATTTGCAGTGACAGCATATCATTTGCTTTAATCAAGTATATGAGACTTTAAAAGATGGTGGATTGCATTTTATAGTAAGACTTAAATTAACATAATCTGTACTACCTTGCGTACTGTTACAGAATAGGAAATCTCACAGGAGCTGTGATAGCCTGGTAGTAGATTAAATATAGAATAGCAATTTATTTTGTTTAGCAATTATATGATTAAATCTCTATGCCACTTTGATATGACATCTTCTTTTTTTCTTGTATAATAAAAACAAGGACTAGATTTTTAAAAAAAGAAAAGAAAGGAATATGTGAAACTTTAAAACTTATATCTTTAAGCATATGTGTTTGCTTTTTCCAAAAATATTTAGCAATCTTTTAAACAGAGTACAACACCTCAGGATACGTGAGTGGTGGGATTAAACTATTTAGGTCCTTTTAGAAAGCTTGTGGTTTTCTCAGCATAGGCATGGTTCATAGTCTCATTTTGTGTATTGCAGCATATACTGGAAGCACTGAGTATTTGTATGGAGGATGTGTAATACTGGAAAAAATTGTCAGCAGGTGGAGCTCAGTGTCAGAAGACCAGTTATGACTGAAAAATGAAAGTTGTTGTTACTACGTGTGTTCAAATAGGGCTCAAGAGAGACAGAAATGTGGAGAGAAAAAAAAATGCTCTCGTTTTTCTAACATCTCGGTTATCTAAAGTGTTTTGCCTTTTTTTTTTTTCCCAAATGTTAAAACACAACCGTAATATAGGAAGACTGTAATGCATATCTTTCAACAGAGTGTAAGCCAACAAGAGCTTTATAACTAAACTGCTTACGGGGCAAGCCCTACAAACGCACTGTTCTTTCTCTATACTAAAGGATGTTCAGTCCAGCTTGGGTGTCAGGATGGCAGGTACACATGAGTTGGTCCATAATATATCTAGGGCTATGAACTATCCTATGAAAGGTAAATATGTCAGAAGGAACATATGACCTTACTGACCTTGTGATAAAGCTGGTCAAACAGATCTGAACTTCCATTCTTCTGGAATGAAATGTTATTCTTAGAAATGTATACTGTGGAGTAACAGAAATAAATGTTAGTACGAGACTTCATATTTCTCAGCTCCTGTTTTGTCTGTAGTAGCTGAAGTAACCAAAGTTTTGTTGGCAGGCTAGTATCTATTTATATAAGTATATATATATAAATGTGTGCGTATATATATAAATGCATATACACACACACACATACAAAGTTTGATGAAATCTGCACTTCTAAATGGTTTTAATATTTGTCATTCTCTTTTGAAGGCTTCAGAGAACATAGCTTGAGTATAAACAAAGTTGCTGTAAAAAGGGTCAGATAAGTCAATTTTTGGTGAAGATCATTTATGGTAAATAAGCAAAAAAAATGGTTATGGAATAAAATTATGAAATGCATAAAACAGTGCTAAACGGTTAAATTAATTATTTAAATTATTCTAATTTTATTTTTTATTTTGCTCCTCTGTATTCCCAATTCTGCTTTCTGGAATCCATGAATCAAGGCTCCTCTAGTAGTATGATTAACAAGCCAGTACTCCTATGGCCATTTTTCTCTTAGCCTCCTCTACAAGTTTGTCTTTAAGCCAAATATTTTTATATTTCTTGCTGAAATCATAATTGGCACATTTAACAAAACTGCACATTTTTCAAGTCAGTTGCACAGATATTAAAAGCAAGAGCTGGTTATCTGACTAAGATGCTTCATTAGTTGCATATTAGATGATGCACCACACGGCCCTTAAAAACATATTCCTTTGAGACACACCTGTGCTTTTGGGGGTATCGTATTCCCACTCTGTTTCTGACTGTGTGCAGTCTACGTGGCCAAAGAGATGCAGGGAGAGAGTCGCACTAACAGTGTGCGTAACGATAGTGATAGAAATTGTTCTTTTTTTTAATTTTTATTTTTTCTCCTTACTGACTCAGAAATATTGAGATGTTTTTGCACTTTGTAATGTGTTGCCAAACATCTCTCTTGCTTGTTGGTGGTTGTAAGTAATTCACTACTAATTTGTGTCTCATGGAATTTGTATAAAATAATCTTCTTTAAGAGCACATAATCAGAAAAGGTACGGGAACCATTTACATTTATTTGATTTATGTTTATAAAATTTATAAAACTTATTTCTGCTAATCCAAGATT